CGGGGGAGGGCGGAAGGGCGGCCCTAGGGCGGGAGGGCGGCTGCCGGAGCGGGCTGGTGCGGTGCCTGTCAGGCCGCACCGTGCTAGGGCCCGAGAGGTCGCCGGTCTTTGTCCCGGAGCTCACACAACCTCGGCGCCTGCAGCCGGCTGATCCGTCTCCTCCCCCACCCCACCCCCCGAGGGCCTGCTGGCCCCGCGACGTGTTTCCATCGTTTTAATGTTTGTGACTGCGGGTTTTGCTTAGGTTGTGTGGGTTTTGCACGTCTCCCCCTTGTCCTGTCCGTACACGCCGCAGGGGACGGCCGCCGAGGAACAGACCCGCCACCGCGATCAAACTGGTTTTAGAAAGAAGGCTCTTTCTTCCTCTTAGAAATGATCTCGCGTTGTTTAAATTTTTCTTTAATCACGTGGGTTTTGCAGGGATTGTTTACAGTTTCACTTTGTTATGCCAGTCGCAAATCGGCTGCTGTAACTGTAGAAACGAAGTTGGAGGCTGTCCACTAATTGGGAAGGTTGAACGAAGAAGCTTAGTTTGTCCTGCTGTTAAACAGTAATGGCTTCAATGACTAGGAAGCCGAGCTTTTCTCCCTAAAGAAAAGATGCTTCTTACGTGCAAAATGTCTGGTAAAAATCAGTGTTTGGAACTGACTTGTCTGGAATATGCCCATTCAGATGTGTTCATCTTTAGGCTACCAAAAATACCTGCTGGATTTTAAGTCTCCCTATCGATTTTTTTCATTTAAAAGTGAAAGGAAAGTGTCCTTTAATGAAGTAGCGGAGGATTTGGGCGTTGGGGAGGGGTTATGGTTTCTGTCGTCCCCTTACCCTGCGTCCCAGTTGTTCTAGAGAATGGCTGTCCCGGGTGAAAACTTGGAACTGCAAAGGGAAAATACTAGTTGAGAGGTTCGGATTTCTTTTAAAATCCTTGATACATGGGTGTGGGTGAATAGTGGTTTGGCAATACTGTTTTCACTTGAGTCAGTATAAGCCTATTGCGGTCTGAGTGTTTCGTTTTCCTTTTCTGGAAAGGGGCCTCTGCCTTCCAACAGCCTTCATGTACTTCCATCATCACCCAAGTCAGGACACAGAATTCCTCCCACTGAAAGACCTGTAACAAATAGTTTCTGTACTTCTACCTCCATTCCTAAAAGCTTTTTTCGTTACATAATACGAGCAGACTAGATTTTGGGGTAAAAAAAAAAAACCACATCCTAACTGTGACTATTTCCAGTATCAATATTTGTTATATTCATTGTTTTCATGACTGATTTTTTTTCCTTACTAATATAATGTTAAAGTGATTGTGTGCATTCAGTTTTCTTAAAAACTAAATGGATTGTGTTGAAATGTGAACAGGTAATATTTAGAGCAATTTCTTGTATTTGTTAACCATATTGGGTTTTGCAGACATTTTTTAGGAAGAGAAATGAGGTTATAAGGAAGCCAAATGAAGTTAGACATGAAGTGAATTTAACCAGTGTAAACAGAAGAGAGGAACACGGAGATAGGGGGGACTTCTTTTTCTTTGCCAGGTATAAAGAATGTGGTACACAGGGCCCTGGTGGTGCTCATCCCTATTCCCAGCACTTGGGAGGCAGAGGCAGGTGGATTGCTGAGTTCTAGGACAGCCAGGGCTACACAGAAAAACCCTGTCTCAAAAAAAAAAAGTGGTAGATGGTTCCAGAAAGACTTAATCCCTCCTCCCTCTCTTCCACCCTTCCCCACACTGGCTTCCTTGCAAAGGCTGAGGAAGCTGAACTAGTGTGAATAACTGATGAGGTTTTCAAAATCATGGAGACAGTGCCCCTTCAAAATAGGAAGGGTTGGGTGAGTGCAGTGTTCAGAAGATGAGGTTTACTCAGCAGTTGTTAGCAAGGGTCTGGCAGGTCAGAGAGGGAGTGGATTCACGCCGGGATAGATAGATGGCCGTCAGAGTGGGTAGTTTGTGATGGAGCAGGTAGAGCTTAGTAGTGAAGGGAAGAGTGACTTTGGTTGGGTGGTTCTGAGACTTCTAATAGTGTTCTTGAAAGTATTCAGTTGGAGTAATAAGTAAGAATGTTAGCTTTTAATCATCTCCATGGTCAAATGAAATACTGAAACAGGAAATGAGGGTGAAGATTTCTCTTGGAATTTTTTGTTTGGTTTTGTCTTTTGAGACAAGGTCTCACTCTGTTGCCTTGGCTGTCCTGGAACTCACTCTGTAGACCAGGCTGGCCTCGAACTCACAGAGATCCACCACCCCCGCCCCCCCCAGTGCTGGGATTAAAAGCGCACTCCATCACACGTGGCTGTCTTCAAATATTTCCGTACCAGATAATATGGATAAATTCTCTACCAGATAGGTGACCACATCTGATTTCCAAAAGACAGTCAGTGACTATGGAACTCCTCACTCAGCACCCAAAGGAAACGTTGCTGTTTTGTGAAGAGCATACGGTTGGAGTCAATGGGTACCTTTCTAATGATTTGCTCTATGACCTAAGATAAAGCTGTCCTGTGTGGTGGGGGCATCAGGAGCAGACACTTTAAGCCAGGCCCTTTGTAATTATCAGTGTAACCTGAAGCAAGTTACAGTGTCTCAATGTTTGTCTGATTAGTTTGTTTGGAGAACTAACTGAGTTAGGAGAGTAAGCAGTCTTACCCCAGCCTGCATGGAGTGAGTGCCCCACGGGTCTCCTCTGTTCTCAGCATTGTCATTACCGTGGGGGATTATTTTAGAAAACTAAGAAATAAACACTCAGCATTGTCATTACCGTGGGGGATTATTTTAGAAAACTAAGAAATAAACACCAGTCTCAGGACCCTATAACGATTTCTATAAGCCCTTTGGTATATTTCCTTCCAAAATGGGTTTTTTTGTTTTCCTACAATTGAGATTTTATTACATAAGTAATTTTCTGCTTTTTTTTTTTTTTTTAAAAAAATTGGTATAAACATTTCTTAAGCTATTTTGTTATTTTGTCTGGTTTTTAATGGTTATATAATGTTTGTGTGAATTTCTCCAAAAGTGTTTCTAATCTCTTATAGTTATATAAGAAACACTGCAATGAACATCTTTGTGCATAAAACAATTACTGCATTTTCTATGTTTCATTATGATTCTGAGTGTCATCCCAAGTTCTGGATCTTTTGCTTAAAGCAAGTGTTTTCATGCTAGTGTTTTGAGACAGGGTCCATCACTGTAGCTCTGGCCATCTTGAAACACCCTATGTAGATCAGGCTGGCTTCAGACTCACAGAGATCTGCCTGCCTCTGCCTTCTGAGTGCTGGGATTAATAGTGTGGGTACTGTGCCTGGCTCTTGGTGGTGTTTTGACTATATTGTGGCTGTTTTTTGTGTGAGTGCTGATGGGGTTGAACTCACGACCTCATGCAGGCTACACATATTGAGAAAGGATTAAGTTATGCAGGCTGGCCTTGAACTCACTCCAGTCCAGGAAGCCCTTAATCTTAATCCTTTTGTCTTAGCATGTGCTTATAAACCTCTACTATTAGGCCTGCTGGTTTGTTTGTTTTGTCTTAAGACAATCTCTCTTTGTTGCTCAGGTTTAGCCTGTTTGTATCCTTCTGACACCATTATCCTAGTGCTGAGATAAGAGATGTTCACTACTGTGCTAGGCTTGCTTGAGGGAATTTAATAACGGTCCTAAAATAAATAGAAGCAACCTAACATTAATGCACCTACTAATGTGAGATAGAAAGGGGAAGAAAGACTGAACGAATCCCTTTTTCCATTGTTGTATGTCAGGAGTTACCTGTAGACATCTGGTATAGAGTACTTCTTTTACATAATTCTCATCATCATAGTCCTGTTTTATACATGAAAATTACTTCCCTTTAATTGATGCCAGGAGATGAATACACATTTTGCCCAAGGGCTAGATGTACAAGCCTGACCCTGAATCTAGGTCTGCCTAAGTAAAAGATGATATTATTTGTACATTTCTATGTAATAGGTATTTTCAAAATGTTATGGATTTAACTACCTGTAGACCATAGGCCACACTGTTAAAATAGTTAGGTGAGTTGGAAGTAATGAATGGTTAAGTTACAAAATTAAACCAGACAGAGCTTAACTTTCCACATTTTAGAAAATGAAAAAACAATCTTTCCCTGGATGAACTACAATATCTATAGATGTGTAGGTAGGTGTGTGGATACGTAGGTGTCTGAAGTGTAAAGTGAAGGCCGCAAGCATGTGGAGCTCAGCATGCTTTCGAATGGTCTCAAACAGATGGGAAAGGGGAACCAAAGAAACCCCAAAGTTGATGAAATTGAGTGACTAAGAGAAGTTTAAAGGCCCATTAAGTAATTGAATTGAAAAATGCACTTGATGAAGCCCATTAAATGATAGTTTAAGCCCAATAAATGATAGTTTTAATGGAAAAATAAGCCAGAAAGACTAGAGCTGTTTAACATAAAGAGAATAGAAGATTTTATGCTGGAAGTGAAAGGAACAACCCCCCCCCCCCACGTGCTCTTAGTTGCGTTTTTACAGCTGATTAAAACATTAGTAAAATAGTGACGTTAAGGCCCCTTTATTCCAGGTGCACAGATCACTCCCACTGACACGGCGGATCCTTTCTATCATCTTGTCTTTACTAACGAAAGAAACTATAGGAGAGAAATAATTGAATATTCCAAATTCATGTAGCATTTATGCAAACAAATGCTTAGTAATAGATGGTGCCAACCAAATCCTAAAAAGTGAACATAAAGTTACAGAGCCACTATCATTCATGCTTCCATTAGGAATTAACATTTTTTT